TACTTATCATTGTGGTTCATTGTGGCAGTTCAATAACAAATATAGCTTCCTACAACCAGGGGATACTGTTGTGTTAGAAAAACACCTAAACTTTGTCCATCAACAATTGAAGGTGGTCAAAAAAAAGAAAAAACAAATCCAAAGTACAGCTGTAAAGCATTACATTTAAGTGGCACCTGATTGAGTAAATATTTGAAACATTACTTTGTTGAGAGCACACCACTCATCTGGACCTGAGATATCAACATTGTATACAGAACTTATAACACAAGCTTGTACCCCCATGAGAGAATTAATCTTACTGGTCACCAGCTGCAGATATTATTTTCAAATAGTTAATGAATCTCAACCATCCAAGATAGTATGCTTGCTTTGATCATATTTGTAAGACTGTTCTCATAAACAAACTAGTTTTGATCCAGTGACATAAAAAGTAAATTACTTGATGCAAGGCATACGCAAAACAAATGATCAAGTCTGGCTTTTCTAGTTAATTTGCTACCTTGAACTCACATGATTATCTTGAATTTGCACATATATTGCTAAAGAAGAAAAGGAGAAGAAAAAGTTTGTTTTACTTTTCTTTTTTGTTGACTCCAGTCAAGGTAGAGGAATAATGAAAACTCTATGCCTTCTGCTATGTTCTCCCTGTTATCTGCTTATTTGACATTGTTCAATTAGTGTAGAGACCAGAAAGAATGCATTGAAGCCATGTTAAAATATAATTACTGCTTTCTGTATTCAGTTTCCACCTAACTCTAAGACTCAGAGTATGGTCTCCTATATATAACAAACTAACCCTCTCCCCCCATGATTGCTAGAGAGTTATAAAGATTAAACAATAAACAAGAATTAGTGATCTGGTTATTGAAATAATCCCAGACAACAAGACTGACCAATATAAGAGGAGAAATGAGTTGCATCAACTCCTGTAAAAACTTAGGGCACCCTGTACCTGAAATTTCCAAATCAACTGAATGTCAAAAGTGTCTCATTATATGTAGATGCAACCAGTCTTGAAAATAAGATTCATTCCCACATTTGAATTCTGAAGCTACTGGTTTCAGTAACTGTTGCTTTCTGCTTTGAAATATGGTTGGCATGTGAGACTGGAAAATCAGATAATTATGTCAAGGAGTGGGTAATCGGTTTCTTCCTAATTTGCTTTCACATATTTGTCAGATTAGCAAAAAGAAGACCTTCATTTTCAACTGATCCCTTATTGGAGCTGTCATATCACCACCCCCTGACAGGGTTCTTTTCATTCTGTCAGCAATCAAATGCATATATCCATTGAGCATATGGCTATAAATGACTTAGAAACAATTTGCAATCATATTTTAGTTTTTTTCAACTGGATTTCAAATAAAGACTTACCTTTTTTTCTCCAGATATTTCATAGATTTCATAGATTTCATAGACATCAGGGCTGGAAGGGACCTCGGAAGATCAAGTCCAGCCCCCCGCCCAAAGGGCAGGAAGTCAGCTGGGGTCATAGGATCCCAGCAAGATAAGCATCCAGTTTCATCTTGAAGGTGTTCAATGAAGGCGCTTGAACCACCTCCGGTGGCAGGCTGTTCCAGACCTTGGGGGCTGGGACAGTAAAGAAGTTCTTCCTTATGTCCAGCCTGAAACGATCTTGAAGTAGTTTGTGACCATTCGACCTCGTCATCCCTTGGGGCGCTCTGGTGAACAAACGTTCCCCCAGATACTGGTGGTCACCCCTGATAAACTTGTAGGTGGCCATCAGATCACCCCTGAGCCTGCGCTTTTTCAGGCTAAAGAGCCCCAGGGCTCTCAGCCTGTCATCGTAGGGTCTGCTTCCCTGACCTCTGATCATGCGCGTACATGTATTGCAATACAATACATGTATTGTATTACACTCTTAAATTGCAGGCACAGTGCACAAATAAAACAGATAGGGTACTATCTTGGCATCTATTCAAGCTTTAGGGTAAGTTACTTTAAAAAGTCTTTTGCAAATAGGTACCAAACTCCATATGTTGTATGACTTCCAGGCAGATAGGAAACAAAGTATAAAATTAAAGTAATACAAATGCACAACCCTTACAAAGCCCTTCCAATGAGGCAGGCGTAACAATTACAGTGATTAGAACATAACTCTCATAGTTTCATTGATGTTAGGGGCTGGAAGGGACCTTTGCAGATCATCACTAAATCTTTTGAAGGTAAAATAGGTGGACATTGCATAACTCTACTCCCCAAGATTTTACCTAATTCTATCTAGGGACCCACAATCCATCCATTTCCCACTGGAGCCAATGGGAATATTTTCACTGATTCCGATGGGAACTGGGTAAGTTCATATGCAGCAGTATTGCCCTCTGAAAAATATTACATTTTTTCCTGTTCTGTTTGAGGGAAAAACTATTATGCATGGTGAATCAAACTAAAAGAAAATCAATGGGGACACTTCAGAATTAATTGGGTTAAATAACATATCTCTTTTCAGACTTGCAGTTTAGATTTCCTCTAGTCCAGCAGTTTTCAAAACGTCTTCCACGGAAACCTAGGGTTCTGCAACAGGTCATTAGGGGGAGTTTGAAGAAACTGGGGACAATGGCAGAGCAGGCCAGGAGGCAATGCACTGCCACTGCAGAGCCAGGTCACCCTGAGCCATGGAGCCAGGGGTAGGAGCTCCACAGTAGAAGAAGCAATATGAAAGGGTTCTGAACCTTTAGAAAGTTTGAAAACCACTGCTCTAGTCTTGTTACTTAAAGATAAACATGCATTACTTTGAGAAAAACCTGGAGATCTTGTGTCTGGGTGTGCTGCAGAATATCTTGCTGTAGATGTCTGAACACAGATATACACATATATATCTGATAATCAGGACCCAGAAAAATACATGTGGCAATATAATGACAGATCTCACTCCAGTCCATGTAATTCCAGAAGCACTGAGTTAGCCATTGCTGACAAATCTAAGGGAAAAAAAACAAAACAAAAATATTCAACATTTTAAGGAAATTCTCTAGTATTTAACAAAACTGATTCACAACTTTTCTACACTGCCCTAATCAGAGGTGAGAAACCCTGATTAGTAAGATACATATTTAAAATAATACAGTATTTAGCTTCATTATGGTATCTGTGGATCTTCAAAAATGCTCCTGTGGATCCCCAGATTTAGGAAAAATGTTCTCTCGCTAAGCAAACTTGGTATCTTATTTTTTCCTCCGGTGCTGAGATGTTAGAACATAAAAGATGCTGTGATTCCTACTACCCTATAACTAGCCCCACATAATTCAGGCATCTTGTGTCCATGACTCCAAAGTAGGTGCACAGGGATTGGGAATCCCTTTGGCAATGAATGCAAACAAGCACAGTTACCATACAATGATTCCTCCTTTGAGGACTTCTCCTATAGATCACCAGTCTTGAAAGATTAACAAGCCCAAGTGACCCTCTGAAAAGTACAAGACAAAAAGGAATTCAGAGCTAGGAAGTAGCTCCTTTGGTCTCAAAATTATGACACATGAAGCAACACAAAATTGACTCATAAGAACATTATCCTGACCACCAAACAAATTGACCCAAAAGACCCAAGATGCAAAAAAGGCATATAGCAATGAAGCAGACAAAAAAAAAAAAAAAAAAAAAAAGGACTTTCCATTAAAAGCAACAGCTACTCTGCTCATATAAAAAAGGACTTTTGAAGGAGAATAAAAAAAAAATATGCTGAAGGACTAACTATCTGCTGATGATAGTCCAAAGGATACGAAGTACAGCAGAAGCCAAGGTCATAATTTTATATTGCTAGCACTGAGGAACACTGCTAAACAAGGCCAAGTGGTCTGGAACTATCAAGGTTAATCACCCAAGTTTCAGAGACAAATGAACACATCCCACTAGTGCAGATGTTAAATTAAAAGTCCAGTGAAGGGGAAAATACTCATTTTTATGTATGGACATTTCTTAATGTGATTTTCTTTCATGGGGATGGAGAGCTTTGAAGGCATGTTTCACGCGTATTTCCCTCTAAATTAAAGGATTTCTGTGCCTCCTAAATGAACAGTAGGTACTTCCCTGAGGCACCTTTGCATTTACTGAATGGGGATAGAAGATACAGTCTTTAGCCATTCCATTCCCCATATCTAAATCTGTGGCTTAAGATGTGTACAGTACATTACATTTAGCTCTAGCCCACAAATCCACACACAGCCCCCAAGTGTTTAAAAATATGCAGCTGTAGAAAGTACTATGATCGATTAGATCACAATAGCCATGCCTTGGAATTAGATCTGCTATTCACATACACTGACTTTAATACAAGTTAAGTTGCTTCCATGGTTTAATTGAAGCATTTTTTTTTTTTTTTTTTAATACTTAGTGTTGCTAAATAAGACCCCAAGTAGCAAAACAGCTCTCTTTCAGTGGCTAGTTTGTATTACAGTGATTCTATGCTGTAACTTTCTTTGTTCTGCCCCAACAATGTGCCTCAAACTCTGAACTGGAGGGGCGACAAGGAAAATCATTCGGTCTCCATGCTCATAAAGTCCTAGACTTCTTTACGGCAGCTTCTAATAAAAGTGTTAATTAGTGTCAATGGTGAATTATTTATGGGCTGTTCAGTTGCTTAGCACTCTAGTATTCAGACTCCTCACATACAATAATGACATTATCCTTGTAATGACCCTGTAAGGTAAAGAAATATCAGTATCCAAACACTACAAACAGGGAACCGAGGCATAAAAAGATTAAAGACATGATTTTCAGATGAGCTGGGCACCAACAGCTCCCATTTACTTGGGAAATATTGATCTTAATCCTTTGAAAATGAGGCAGGAGGTGACTTACTCAATATCATGAGGAAGGCTTTGGCAGAGATTGTAATAGGATCCAAATCTCCTGAAGCCCAGCACTTTAAGCACAAGACTATTATTCCAGTCCTGTGACAGGGACCTTCTGATGAGAACATTTCTCCTACAGGAATTAGAATTCAGCGGTAATTTGGCATGCTCAGTGTCTCTAAAACTTGGACAATTAACCTTGATAATTCCAAACCCCTTTTGTTTGGTGAGGATAAGACGTGTTTTGTAAGGACATATTAATTAGTATATCCTAACACCATACTTTGCAAACCCAACTTAAAAAAGGACAACTGACTTCAATGAATGCAGGCCAAGCATGAGTAGATGCCTTTTGTTATTTCTCTGTCATGCCCTTCGTATTTTAAAATACAGCCTGTGCCTTTCCCTTTAAAAACATTCTTTTCTGTAGTAATTTTAAGTATCTCAGCCTTTGTGGGTAGACTGAAATGTATAAAATAAGCAGGAACCTACTGAATTCCTAATTTTGTGGGTTCTGTGAAATCCAGCATTGCACACAAAATGCAGCCAATGCCTGCAA